TTCAATTTCCGCGTGTCCGCTCTTCTTCTTGTTATTGCGAGTTTCTTAGACCAATTACAGGGAGTCAGAAATAAGCTGCGACTTTTTTCTCAAAGAATACATTGATCCACAGTTTCCGTATTATCAATATCCTTATTTGTCTTTAATTTATACGTACAAATTTGTATGTAAAAAAAAATCAGTAGTACGAAATTACTTGTCTGAAACGTACACCTTGTCTCGATGTAAACTGTTAAATGGCTTCAGTGACACATTTTCTTTTGGTGTGAAAAGAGAGGTTGAAGAGTACTTTCAATCTGAATGCTTCAGAAAAGACAAAAAACAAAAAAAACGAATATCCTCTAAAGTAGATTTATTCACAAGTATCGAAGAATTGCTAAGTTCGAACGAAAATTAAGATCGGCTGTATTACTAAATATCATTATCGACGATTGACTAAAAATTAGCTTTGTACAATCAGTCGAAATTATGTCGTTCGTATGTTCCTACGAATATTTATCCCTCATTAGCGTTGCGTGCAGATATCTTTCCGCCTAAGTTAACGTTGTACAACCTTTCCACCTTTCTGAGCACTCCCATTTCCACTAATTTTCAAACTCTATGCTCTGAGCGCTTCCATTGTGATTCTCTAGAAAAGAATATTTTACCCGAGCGCAAGAGAAGTTACGCGTTTGATGTCACGTCGTCCTTAGAAAGGATTTTATTTTTCTCATCTTTAATGAGCAGCCATAATTCAACCTCTTGAAACGCGAAAGGAGGCTTTCCTGGAATACGTTGAATACATTCTTCGATACCTTCAGATGGTAATTTAATTGCTATACGTAGAAATGGAAAAGAAGGTTTCATAAATGATCAACATTTAGCGGTGTTTCGAGTTCACTTTTAAAATCGCGATAAAAATTAAGACCAGATATTGAGAAAAGAAAAGAAACGACGTTTCGTAAGAAACGTTGATAGTTGCTTGAAAAATGTACGACACGTGAAAAGTTATTTAAAGTCGGTTTCCTGTCTGTTCGATTGTGCTTCGTTTACACTTCCCCAGAGTAACGGTCGTATGTTGTTGCGGAAGGTGAAATACGGTGTAGCTAATGGCAATCGATAAGTTTTATGGGCCAGACTGTATGAAAGGAAGGTAAAAAGATAAACGAAGCAACATTTATTACAACGCTTTGACATTTCAGAGGATTTATCAATGATTAATGCTGAATTGGTGGTTGCTTTTTGTTCCGTAGTTTCACCCAAGGGGTAGATTCTCTTTGAAATACGGGCGTATAGATAAGTAACACTTTAAGTGGCGTGTGGATTTTCCAATTGCAAAATAGTGTGCAGGTATACCGACATTTTAAGATTAATTCACTGTGAAGATCACTCTGCTTTCAGATGTATTCTACATCACTTCAGTTTCTGTTCTGTGATAAAACATTTAGTGACAAGCTTATGACAGAAAATGATGGAACACGGGTACTGAAAAGTTTGCAGAGTTTCTTAATGCTGGTTGCGACAGCTTTTACTGTACGGATTACAGTATGCTCTTGATAATATTGCGTGGCTCGATGATTTTCACACGGAAAGTCATAGATAGCGAAACAAATGAGTGGTTCACGTGTCTTGGCGAGTTTGAAACCCGACAATCCAACAAGGAGTTTCTCTTCTTCTTCTTCTTCTTCTCTTTGACTCGTCTTCACCTATAACCTCTATTCGTCTGTTCTTCCACGATCCGAAACTCGACATGAAATAAGAAGAGAGTAAATACTCGGGAGTCGTCTCCGAGTACATGGGCGTTTGGCACGGAACCAAATTCCACCAGCAGGAGGTATATCATTGCTAGGAAGCAAGCTAGTATATATACAGTGCCTCCTTTGAAATCATTCTCGTAGCTTATTTCGAGGCGATGACGGTAACGAGATTTTTCTCTGAAAGCGGCCATGCTGTGAAAAGTGGGACATGCAATTGGCAGATATTTTCATCTTCAATTAACTTCTCTCTAGGAATGTGGATAGTAACTTTATTTATATCGATGATCAAAAATTCATTTTGCACAGAGTGATCGACAATTTTACTATTTGTTTGCTGCGAAATGAAACGTACATTCTGAAACTATTTTTTAACCATTTAAGTTACTCTCTTTGACTGTATTCAGTATTAGAGTAGAGAAATGATTGGTTCGAAATTGAATATAAAATCTATCGAATGTAAAAAAGTATCGAATTTGTTACTATTGGTCAAGATAACCCAGAATTCAACAGCCTTGACACTTCTTGAGCGTTGAAGATTAAATTATACAGAAGGAAGAGTCAATCTCTTTTGTCACGGTCAATCGCGTTAAGAGGCAGTGGAGAAGCTCGATGTATAGTCAGACATCGGTCCTTGCATGCATATGTATGTATTTACGCGCTCTATGGCACTTTGCATAAGTTACTATACAGTTGTCTGATAATGTATACAGCAGTGGGATTAAGGATAACGATATCGATGAATATCAAGTTGTTCGTAACATTAATTTGTTAATAATTTACGTAACTACTTGTTACCTCGCGACGCGTTGCTTCTTCGAACGATTCACGAACTTAACAGTGGCTGGCAATTTAACGACGAGAAGGCCAATATTAATTTCCTTAGTTGGATCGCTGTATTTTTACTTAAAACAAATTAAACACAAAAATTACCGAATCTTTTAATATTGAACGCTTAAGAACCGATAATTTCGCGGTTAGGGAAATATGTGGCGGTGAAGGATTGCGCGCAAATAATTTATACACGACGTATCGTTGGCAATTTTGTGGTTTATGATATACAAGCAAGAGCCTGGCCATATTGAGAAGGTTGTTCGCAACACTTTACTAATTATTCCCAATTAATTTCACTGTACAGTGCTTATTCATCTGTCATCGCTGCCCGATATGCGGATACGATATTATAACGACGTGTTTCCCGCGCGGATCCTATTCGTTATTGATCATTTGGTTATTGAACTTTGCCAATGTAGCTGCGGTAGATTGGAAACGTCAGTTGTGGCGATCCTTTAATTAATGTTACATCTGTCCAAGAGAATTATCTTTCCATTAATACGTTCCTCCAAATATCAATGTCGCTACGCGGAATTTCCACATTTCTAATTCAACTGTAACACTTAATGTATTCGTTTGGAAAGAATTTATCACGCAGTTGAGTATTTCCTAAGATTGGTCATTTTCTGTAGGATCTATCTGAAGTTAGAAAAGACTTCCATACCAGTTGAGATATATTTTAATACGAACTGTTGAATGAAAAGTTGAGAAATAATTGCGAGATCGTTGGGACGAAAAATAAGTTCGAGAAAGATGTACTGTGCAGCAATATTTATTTAAATATTATTCGTAACACTTGAATTCTGAATCTGTGCAATTAACGAGGAGACATACTTGTGCCACCGTGAGGATAATCGCGGTATAGTTCTTACTGGTACCTTGTTGCATATTGGACGATCCATGAAAAGTCACTAAAAGCTGTAAATGAAAATTCGAGCAGTTATTAATTTCGGTGAAATAAAAATTGTGAAATGAATTGTTACGAGTTTATTAAAATGTTTGAATAGTGTAATTATTTATTGTATTATAATAGTGATATAATGCGGTGTTACTTTGTTACGCAGAGAATGATTTTCCGGTAGTTTGATAAGTTGGGACATTGAGAAGACATCGCAATCACGTTCAATTAACGAAATTCCTATTTAATGACTTATTTGCTTAACAAATGTGATTAACATTGTGATTTCTAGCTTGCTCCTACTAAACTCGTTTACAATTTCTTCACATTTACAGTATTTATCGTAGAAAGCACATTAGATATTCCATTCTTCAATTTATTATTGTCAACTTGTACAACGATAAGTAAATTTGAAAAATTTCTTTTATTGACAATAAATTCATTGCCAATATTTATTTGATTCCCTTTGTTACATACGAGTCAGCCAAACTAAACAATTGTGTAAGAGTTAAAGTCTTTGGTTGTTAGGAGGTGCTGCTATATTTTATTGTGTCTCATGTTTAAAAGTAATTCACATAAATAGAATCACATAGTAATTTCACCTGTGCATAAATTACAATGTGCTAGGAACTCGAACAGTGCAAAACGTGTTACAATTGGTTACAAAGTATAACGTAATTATTCTAATTTTGATTATCGAAGAGCATACGATACTAAGGTATTATAATTTAATTTCTCCCCATATTCGTAATTGAAAAGTAGTAAGTTACACGTACTTAATGTTAGTCGTTAATTGTTATCTAAGAGTCCCAACATAGTAAGCGTATTTGTATTGCGATAGAAATTATCCCGTATCACAACGAATTGACTCAACCAAGACTTTGCTAATTCAGTCGCTAAACAACGGTTCTACGAAAATCTTTGCGCACGCGAACAATTCAAATCGGTTAAATAACTGGACGATATTTAAATAACAGAAACATCAAAACCTATCTCCACAACATTAACATTATCTTACTTCACTATTTCAAATTCGTCCGCGGCAAAGCAGAACGATGTAAACGCGATCTCACATTTGACCGCGCCGAACCGATAATTTTCCTACACATGTAAAATTCACTGGGCTATTATCAACAATTTCACTCGGTGTTCGCCGAAATTGCGACGTATCAAACGGAAAAAGTGGGACGGTGTCCAGTTGAGGAATTACGGTTTTAAAATACTGTTAACCGTTCTTGTCACCGGTCATTCGTTGTTGAAGCACCATCGTTTATAACAATCATGTCCAACTTTTACGACAATACCACTGACCACTCTCTCTCTCTCTCTCTTCACTTTACATCATCCTCCGTTTCCGGAACGAAGTACACTCTGCAAAGTCCCAGAAAACCTCTCGAGCATGTGATTCTCTGAATTTCTCGTTTCTTCCTGTTTCTCGTACGTCGACAGAGTGACACACAGACACACACACAGTTCGATGACACCAGACTTCTTTCGCAGACCATACAAACCCGCATCCACTGTTTCCGAATCTTTTACTCGCTGTCAGAGAGACAACCGTTCTCCTGCAACTTGTCCATCCCTTTGTGCGTCTCGCCGTTATTCGAATCCGAGACTTTGCTGTAGCCGTACATCAGCGAACTTCTGTTCCGTATGTACCACTTAACAGCCAGATAAATCGCCACCAATACGAAAACGCTCACGTTGATCAGAAACAAAGCGGTCATCCTGTAGAACCATAGGGTCGACTGCATCATCCACGAAAGCTCGCGCAGGATGCATACAGACTCGTTAAGACTCGAAGAAATTTCGGCATCCTCGTGGCAACTGGTGCACTCGGTATCCGAGGATCCTGAACAAGTTAGGCAGGAGTAATGGCAGGCATAGCAGACAGACTTTGTATCGTCCAATATCCCATACGTCCCCTTCGGGCACTTGTACACGCAGATTCCGTTGTGGTGGAACCAGTTCAGCTTGCATTCTGAAAAATTAATCACATCTTTTTCACGGTCTTCCTCTCTCCGATTACACGGAGGTGTCTTGTCGTGTGTTGTTCGTTTTTGTGTGTTTTTGTGGTGTGCTGAAAATGTTGAAAGACACACGGACGACACTAACTCATCGTAGATCTCGGTTGAGCAACATTTTTCGAAGAAATACGCTAAATATACAGGATGCTGCAAATTTTGCGAGTATGTTCTACGAGGAGATTCTACGATTAAGAAAGTGACAAATTGACGATTATAGGTTTCTTGATTGGCGAGCAAAGTTTTCAGATTATCCAGCGATGTAATTTGAATTTTCAAGTAATGCGCCTGTCGCGAGCAAGTTCGGAACAGTTCTCAGATAGGAGGTGCATTTAGAGTACCCTGATGAAGTTAATGCCAATGTTGGTAAACCTTATGCTCAACGGGAAACAACCGAGAAACCTGAATTACTGTTACGATTAACAGTGGAAAGTAGAAGTATCCGATTCCTCGTAGTACAGTTTTGGAAATCACACCGCAATTCTGTTTCAGCGTTTAATCAAACGTTAAGTTAGACAAGTGAGAAATTTTTCCGAGATAATGTCATCCATACGTAACACGCGAATATTTTTTCATTCGTTGTGTGTTGTTTCATGTTCATTGTTCCAAGGTATTACGTTCTAAATGTAGCTTATGTTAAAAACGGTACTGTCTAGTTGAATAAATCTTTTCTCATAATTAGGTACATATGTGTGCAACAAGCGATGTTCTATACGACAACAATAAATAAATATACATTCAATATATATATTAGGACTCGGTGAATCGATTGCCGAAACAATTCTTATCTCATCGTAATGTATTATACAAGTTGTTTAACGCTAAAAAAGAATATTCCAATTTTGCATTCGCCCAGCCCTAATTTAAATATATTTCGATTTCGACTAGATACGTATTACCATTTGTGTTAACTTACAAAAAGAAAAAGTTAAGCGAATAAGATTGTATAAACTGTTAATTTAACCAGCCATTATTTGCCATAAAATAACTATGAAATAATACAGAATTCTACGGTACATGCTGAAACATATATTTACTGTAGTTAAATTGGAATTAAGACAGCGGACATCGAATAGTTTCAAGTTCAATAGAATCAAACGAATCGTCTAATTGTCGAATAAAGAAAAAAGCGTGTTTGACAATCAGTAAATAATATGTAAAGGTACATCTTTGTCAAATTGTTGGTGAAAGAACACTTTCAAGTAGAGAGAATGCACGATTCAAACCTGCCTCTGTGAAGATGCAAAATTCGGATTTCAAGGCTCGTTGCAAACGAGCGACGCAAAGTAGTCGCGATTTCGCAGCGGGATTGACGCTGTGCGATTCCGGCACGTTTTGAAAGGAACCCTCTACCCGGGACCGATATTCGAAATATTATGCGGAATATCCGCGGCGGCGGTGAATATTTTCGCGGCGACTTAAGCGTGCGTTCGCATCAACGCGAAAAATTCCCGCCAAAGCTGCCAAGTTCCAGCGATTTTTTTCCGCCGCGGATTTATCTCGCTCTTTCCGCGCGTTTCTTTCGCTGCCGCACGAAATCCGCGCGACGTGAAAGCAATGTGACATACGCGGGAAAGAAAGACGCCGGTGAATCCCCGCACGGATCAATGTGAAATATTCGCTGCGGCAGCGAAAATTTCGTACTTCGGGGTAGACAAACACAGGCGAATCTCCCGTTGGTCTTGGGATTCCTTTAAACCCGTCGAATCGCACACATTCACCGCTGCAAAATTGTAACGAAATTCGCATTGCTCGTCTGCGTTGGACCTTGTCGTTAGAAATGTAAAGGCTGGTGCACACGAGGCGATTTCGCACAGATTCGGTAGATTTATATCTCTTTTAGCATGATTGCACGTGAATTGTATCATTGGGAATATAACTCACCGAATGAAACAGTGTCACCGCTGTGAAATCCTGAGAATTTCGCTTCGCTCGTGTGTATCAGGCTTTAGGGCACGTGACCATCTGAGAGTTTCTTGCGATACTCTCGAGAGTACTCTCAAAGTATGTGTCCAACGCTCTCAGTACGATGGACACTGATAAATTTGACTCTCGAGAACACAAATTATGTGTCCAGCACTCTCAATACGGTGGACAGTAAGAAATTTGACTTTCGAGAACAAAAATTGCGTGTCCAGTTCTCCGTTAAAACTCTCGATACAGTGAACACTAATAAATTTGATTCTCGAGAGTATTCTCAAATTATGTGTCCAGCACTCTCAACACGGTGGACAAATTTGACTCTCGAGAAGAAACTCGTGACAGTTTTACTCTCAAATGGATACGCACCCTTAGGCTGCTTTCAGTGCAATGCGAGCCCACATGCGGGTTGTTTTCAAAGTGACGCGTGCATTTCGCGGGCGTCCGCACAGCACTTTTTCTCCAACAGTTTGAACGAGTACGATGTAAAAATGAGAATGCTTTCGATAAGAGTTTCAGAGGTCTGTTGGAAACGTTTTTACGGCTGGTACGGATGCCCACGTTACTCGATGTCGAATATAGATGAAGTTATGGTATATATGTAGTAATTACGTTCGTTGATAATTCAGCAAGCAATAGAAGCGTAAATAAAATATCATTACCATAACCTTTTTCCCAATTGTATAAGAAAGTACATAATGTGGTGTGTACCTCCAAGAACAACCACCTTCAAGCACTGTGTGAGAAGTAAGAAGACGATAAAGGGAAAATAATCAATTATCAGACCAGAAATGATAAGTTCTTAAGAGGCAAAAGACAGTTCAATGAATCGAAGTAGATTGAATCTAGGCAAATTAAGTGTAGTCGTAGAATTGGTGCAATTAGAAGATAACGAAATTACGCTTGAAACATAAAAATGATGATATATTCTCTTTTGAGTGAGCAGTGTAGTTTTTGGAAAGTTTATTTTGTACTATCGACAATTTTTTAATCCTTTCGCTCTATAAAAATGGTCACTCATTTACGAAGAGTGTATAAATTCCCGTTCGTAAGTATTAACACACTTACCGAATATGAAGTATATTGAAATATACTGGATTCTACTGAAATATTCCACAATTTACTAAAATAAAATACTTCAATACATTATTTTTTGAAAAAACACAATATATCTAAAGTTTCACAAGCACCAACTTCGCAATAAACGAGCAAATTAAAGAAATACTTAATTACCCCCAAAAAAAAAAAAAATTGTTACATATTTTATCACTCACCATAAAACTGAATTTGCATGGAACGTTATGATACAGTAACAACCAATATTCCCCATTGTACTAATATTGCCTACGATTCAAAATACTTAAAAGCGCAGCATTTAACCAGAGGATGTAACCAAGGAACATTATAGAAGATAGAGAAGTAAGACTCACCGTGCTGGTGAAGCGATCAGGGATAGGTCTATTTTTTTATTGATTGTACATGTGTGGTTGTGGATGTGGATGTGGTTGGTGATGGTAGTAGTTGGCTGGTCTGAGAAAATCCGCACCGCAACTCGCCCACGGAGAGCCCAAGTACCTAAATACGTTTTCAGAACCTGCTATGAAGTAGAGGGATAAAGCGACACGTGACACTTTAGGACAAGTAATCTTTCTTTTTAGCTCCGTTGAAGAGAATTCAATTTTGATCTCCTGGATAAGCGGCACGATGATCTTTTTCTCTTCACGCGGACGGTTCTCTCGGGTCTTTTTCTTTTTTTCTCTCTCTCTCTCAAAGAAACTCGATTTATCGCGTGCAAATTGCTCTTGTAGCCTTTATACGATCTTTTCTTTCTTTCTTTCTTTCTTTTTACGGGCCACATGTGATCGTGAATTTTCTGTATCAAATTAATTTAATCATCCTCGATCGAGAGATAACGATCGACAGTAGAATGGATTAATAGCGAGAAAAAGATATGACACGTTTTGTGACATATTGGAGAAAGTAGAATTTTGAGAAAAATAGCGAAAGATCTATGGGACACTGAGAAATTTATCCGGTTGATAGGATTCTCGCGAATTGTTGCTCGGCTCAAGGAAAGCGGGAGAACAAAAAGAAAATGAAATAAATAATAATGAAGCCGTGAGGGTACGTAAGAAGGAAGTAATAGTTGTAACAATTTAAAGCGTTGTTAAAAGTCAATAAAAAAAAAAAAAGAGCAGATTTCGAATAGGATTTTGATAAATGTGAATATTTAAATTTTTAGAATATGTATTATTTAACAAATTCATACGTTGAAACGTTCATAATATACAGAGTGCGTGTTATTTTCACTGATATACCATAGTTTATTACACTTGTGGGAGTAACAGTTATTTATCATCCCATTATTAGAAGAAACGTGAAAAGATCAAATCAACAGAGAATCAGATTAAAATTGCATTATTTAGTGTTCGTTATTTGTAAGCGTATTTAATAAAAATTAGTCTCAAATTACGTGCAAGTCACACAAATGCACAGGCTGCAATAATGAACATTCATTATTCGCAACAAATGAAGCGAAATGTTTTCGAATTATTTACATACAGTGTGACACAGAAGAAACATAAATTTTGTGCAATAAAAATTGCATGCAGAATTGTGCAACAGCAAACCCTTTAAAAAATAACTCGATGCAAAAGCTCTGAAATTTCAGCGTGACGATAAATGTATAGGGATCAAAAATGAAAGAATTATTTGTCGACGAAACGTCTTATCTATAAGATAACAAAGTGTAAGAAATGAAACTTACGACGATAAAATAAAAAATAAACGAAAGCTAGGAATTATCGATGCGCATGTATGTACGTGATTTCGTTAACTAGAGCTATTAAGTAATATTGCTTAACCAGGCGAACTGCTAAATATTTTCATTATTCAAATGCTGGTATTATAGCACTCTTCTCAGAGTTCACGTTAAAGTTCACTGAATTATTCATGAAGTGCAAGCAGAAAACTTTCCGTATACACGAAAGTTAAATTAAAATCTATTTCTATGTTAACTTTTAACAGTTTCCCCTCT